GAACCAATGGCCTCCAGGTCACCAAGCATCGATCCCCATTATCTCAAGCACACCATTCAGGCACTCTGAACCTAACTACACGGTTCGGACCAGTAGCCATAGACATTATAGACTGGTTTCATATTTTGATTTGACTATCCTTAGTCTTCTTCCAACGTAACCCCGCTTCAGCTGACAATGCACATCCGGGTGGGCGATGGTCCGACCTGCGTAGCACATAACATTTCCAAGTCACCTCAGTCTATCAACACTCACAAACTTATCGATTCACTTACCCTCCTCAAATACTACTCTCAATCTAACCTCACACAGTCATTCCACCATACATCAGCGACTCTGGAAAAAAAGTATGGCCAAAAACACATAACCTCCTCATATCATCAGTCTTTACCAACCAAGTCTCACAAAATGGAGTAGGATAGAGCGAACTGCAGTGCAGTATTATTATTTGTCCTTTGGGTCCTAGTGGAACATAGGGCTTCAGTAGCACGTCTCCATTTCACTCTGTTCTCTGCAGTCTTTCCAACCAGGCTCCACGACGACCCACAAACTTTCATTCCTTCCTCACCATCTATCTCCTCCATGTCACCCTCGCCTCAAACACGCAACTCGTCGTTTCCCATGTAGGTTCCACTCGACGGCCTGGCCTGGCCTGGCACATGATGTCCCCAAAACGTCTTTTCAGTGTATGCCAAATCCAATCCATCTCCACCTTCTTCTGCATATTTGTTGGGCGATAGGTTGTTGGTTGGTTCGTTGACAGTCAGTCAGTCAGCCAACCAGCCAGCCAGCCAGCCAGAGCTCCTTGTTACTTATTCTTTCTCGACATCTGATCTTTAGTGTCAGTATCGAGTGAGCTAGCGTAGACAGCAGCTGTTGAAGTATATCTGTAGTTTGTTGGAAATGCTTCTCGTAATGCGCCAATTCTCTCAACCATCACATAGAAGCACTGACTTGACTGAATCAGTGTTGAAAATCTGGATCTTGTTCACGCTCTATGTTGAGTGAAGTGTAGTGCAGTAGATCTCCACACTGATTTCAGATCAATAAAGGAAGTCCTGTCTTTCTGTGTTTCCGATCCTGGCTTTGACATCCTCATCTGTGCCTGTGTCGCCTGTAGTTGAGACGATGCTGTCTTGCCTAGGTAGGTGAGACAGACAACTTCCTGTAGATTTCTCTCGTTCATGGTGATTGGTGCTTATTGTTGATGTTGTTGTTGATTGGGTATCTTCATCTCCTTTGTCTTCTCTATGTTCACTTGAAGTCCCATCTTCGCTGCCTCATCTCTTCTGTCAACTTGTTGGTTTTCGCCTGTAGATCTTCGAGTTTGTGCCACATGACATTGGACACAAATCCTCATGGGCGAAATCCAAATCTCCTATGGCCTTTCCACTGATCAAACAGCGTATGCCCATCTTCTCACAGCTCCTCACAGTTTGTTGTATGATCCAGTCGACCACAATCAGGAGGATCATCTGTGATAGTAGACAGCCTCGTCTTACTGCTGTCTTCCCTTCAAAGGCGTCAATGAGCATTCCATTGTGGCGTCGTTATATAGCTGTTGAGTTAGGTTGGTAAAGGTTTGTGGCACTCCGTACTGTTGAAGCTGATGTAAATTCTACGTGAACGAAATGACCAACACGCTTTCCTTATTCTTAAACTGGGAGTGACTGCAGAAAGGGCCTGAAACATTATCTTATATTTCCCGAGTGCGAAATAAGTGGTAAACTTAGTCAGATTTAAGCTGAATGTTTTCCGAAGACTCTGGATACTGATAGCGTCTACGTCTAACAGGATGTTTTGCATTATTCCAGGTCTAAAATACCCTTTTTCAACTTCAAGGAGATTTGGAGGACCGATATCTGCATTTCATTCACCTTCAAATTGGATGCTAAGCAAATGAAATTTGGTTGTAAACCGAACTGTTCCATCCAAAGTCCCAGCCTCCTTTCCATAAAAGATGATCACGCATCCATCTTTGTCGCTGAAAATCTAACCAACCTTTTGTTGCCAGTTTCCAAATTAGGCCTCAATGATCCACAGGATGTTACGCAATGCTTATACATTCTCCATCTCTCTCACTTCGCCACCCACCACTGTTCATAGTTATTACGGAGACTAGGAGTCAATTTACGTTCGTGGCTTCTGTTTCTCATTGTAGTTAGAAACAGCTGGATGAGTCTCCTCGCATCAGTCAGTTTAGACGAGGTTGCGCGAACCAACTAGCTCTTGCTAACCTTTGAACGTAGGTTACCACATTGCTACAGCAGTCTGAATATCACGCCAGGACGAGAATTGTTATCTCCTCCCTGAATACCTAGTTGAAGCTCTCATATTCCAACCCAGAAAACAGAGGTTTCATCAATCTGTTTCCTATGCCAACTAAGGGATAGGCATCCAAGTGTTCTTAGTTCAACGAGGTACTTCAGGAAAATATGCTATCACTCACTGATCTCCAACGATGACTTACAGTAATATGGCCTATGTCCATCGTTGGTTTGATGTCGGCAAATCCTAAGACACTGTCTCTTCTTATACTGAAGATAACCAGAAACAAGTGACTTCAACGTTCTGCTCAGTGTAGCATAGTTCACAGCTTTTGATAGAATTCATTCACCCCAGTGAAATGTGTAGGTTGAAATTATAAGTCGACATCGACAATTCTCAAAACCCTTCCCAAGTCCTTACAGATCAACTAAATCAGACAGACTAGTATGCAGTCAAAAACTTCACTTTTCGCTCTGGAAATCGATGTTATACTGCACCTGCAAGTCCACAAAACCTAACCATGGAATCCAGACCCTAGTAAGGTGATTATTGAAGATTCACTACACTGACCGAATGAGACGGAGTGAAAAAGCTAACTCGAGTCCTGTATATATGTCTCAGAAGCACACCATACATCCATGGCTCGTGATTTCAGAGTTCTTGAGAACGATATCTACTGTCCTATTTGGCATACGAATCGGACATCAACAATAATTTTAAAATCCTCAAAACAAGTGACTTTGAAAATACGTTCAATCTCATCAACTAGACCTTTGACGGTATTCAATTAAAAAAAAAATCTAATTCCTAGATATTTTTATCAGAATAAATAGCAGAACCTTACAGTGTACAAGATGACACACTCAGATCAAGTTTTGAAATACAGCAGTAACAACACAACGTCTTAAAAAAGAGTTGTGCACAAACACCACATGCCAAAATCATTGCACACTCAACAACTATGGAATTCGGAGGAAAACCACTTGTCCAAATTGTTCAAAACCAATGACTATCAAACCAAATACATCGAGAAATGTCAACCAACTGAACATAAAGCAGGACAAACACCTCAGGTCACAAAACAAATCATTTCACCACATATCAAAGATGCCTCTCAAACTGTCGACCAACTACTTCTTCCACTTGGTATCAGTGTGACACACAAATCTACCAAAAGTTCATGAACTGAACGACCCATCACCCAAAAAAAAGACAAGACGAATATCATCTGCAAAGACTGTGTATATCACTATCTTGGCGAATCCAGTCGTCGAATAGCCCATAAAATTTGAGAGCATCAACTTAGCAGTCAAACGATACCATACATCAACCCTAATATCGATACATGTAAATGAGTGCAACCACGACATTGATTAGGAAGACGTGAAAATAATACCATAAACAAGATTAACAAATATCCTTCATAAACACTTATGCGACCTGAAAGTGCTTCACTTGTTGATGAAGTGGATGTTAATGAAGTCTCCTAGCCTGATAATGAAACAACTAAGAACAGACCTGAAAGGTTGAAGAACATCAAACAGTTAGTTGTTCCATTGAACCTTTCATGTCAAAAATGATGAGCAAATATAATATCACTCAACATTCACATACACCTTTAGTGAAGTCTGAACTTCATGCCGTTGTCAAGATTCAGCAAAGGAAACTTCAGAAATGATATACTGCATGAATTGAACTTTAACGAAACGTTTTTCAAAATATTCGTGAAAAATCACGATTGTTACAGATTTAGAAAACACTGACGCTTGGATTTGTCATAGCAAGCTTCGAAGAAATGTGATAGGGTTCAGCGAGTTCCTTCACTACAAAAGGACATTTATCAAAGCTTGAGTGAGAAATGAAATCAGCAAAAGGCATTTCTTTTGATGTGATGTGAGTTTGTGAAACTTCCTTATTGTTCTTGTTACTCTGATGAGTTTGTCAACGTCTGCGACTACGTCCGAAGTGGTCGATTAAATTGAATTTGATATTCGATATATGGTTTGGAATAAAAAGACTTTTTGTTATGAAAGTTCTAGGTATTTTTCAGTCCCATGAAAGCTACTTCTTTAGAAAAAAGGTTGGAAATGCATTCAACTTTTTAGACAGTTACGCCATAGAAATTCCTTCAACCTTATCCTGAGAAATAAGTTTGTCAGTAAAAAAACTTCAATGGTATGTTTGGTTACTGGCAATTGACCTCAATTGTTAATATTACAGAAAACTTACCTTGGAGAATTGATATTTATTTATCCGGTCTTCCACAGCTTGTATGCACAGCTTTTATTCGTCTATCTTTCACAAATATCTGTCCCGACTTTATTGCGCTTTTTCACATTTTTACCTAAGGAACACCACGTTTTTAATTAAACAATTAGTGTTCGCGTAACCACGTTTTTTGTCTTTGATAAAAAGGCTATCTCGTTATGAATCCATTGGTGCAACTGCCGTAGGAATTCGTAGCATTGCAAGTCGTAGCAGAGGTAACCTGCTAAGTTGTCTTTAGAAAATGATGGAGCAGTCTGTTACAATAGAAGTAATCAGCTAAAGAAGTTACCCTTCACACTACTTTCACTTTAAAAGAATCTTGAAGCGTGAAAAGGAAAACTAGTGAACAGTTCAGATGCAGCCTGCTGATGCCAACAGTGTAGAACACAAAGTCCTGTTTTTCCACAGATTTTTTCTACACATTGGTCAACAACTTCCCTGTAGGAAGAAATGACACCAGGTGGGGTACATTCTGCTTAAAGAATTTGATAGTCTTTTTTGGGGGTCTAAAGCAAAGTCAATTTTGAGTTCAAGATACAGCTAAAAAATCTTTTTTGACGCTAAATGTATTTATTCAACTCTGTTTTTTGGTTTTACATCTTTATCTGTGAAGCTAAGAGGGAAACCACTTTCCACCAGTTTTTCGAAGACTTTGCGGTTCTTCGTCAACAGTGTCCTGACCCTCGAGAAAAGTGGTTGGATAAGAAAGATCTTCTTACTTAGAAAGACCGAAATGTGGAAGTTGACAAACTGTCTGTTCCATGTAGGCTTTCTGCAAATAGATTTACGACGTGAATTATGACATTTTCTTTGGAGTTGAACACCAAGAAAATGGAACGTTAAGTTTGATTTTAATTCTAGAGTGAAGTTGAGTGAGAAGTGGGTATTATTGGAAGCATGAGGCACGCTAACAAGATTCATATTTTCACCATAAACAATAAAAGTATCATAAATGCACATTTTCTAGATATGAAGTTCATTGACTGTTTTTGATGAGTTGATGTTTTCTGGGGTTGCAATATAGGTGTCAGCTAAAAAGGGTTCTAGTGGGGAAGCTTTTGTCTCACCGAAGGTACCTGAAGGTACGTCAAAAAAGTGAATAGCAACACGGAACACTGGGGAATGTAGAAACCAGGCAGAAAGTGAAAATATTCATCACTATATGCCTCAGAAGTGTCCTCCAAATATACTACCTGATATGGACTAACATCACAGTTGACATACATCATTCACAAATCTAAATCAATCAAAGTACAATTTCCTATCCATTTTGAAATGCATTCGGTGCAAAATCGGCCATTAGTTTTTCAGCAAATTTACTCTAAAAATGTAACACCTGATGAGAAGTTATTGGAAAGAATATGCCTCGTTTATATTTGACTTTTGATATATGAAAAGAGGATCTTCAACTGTTTAAAATCAGATTTCATTTATTACAAGTTTGTAAGGAAAAAAAATTTTAAATAACCTGGGATATGTAAAATAAGATAATAGCTGGAAATAGAGAGGATTTATGTTGTATGTCTTTGTAACCATATTGCAGAAAAGAAATATTTCTCACCAACAGTCCCTATGACAATCCTTCGATAGAATCTAAGTGTCATTCAGCGATTTAATGATTAAAATGTAAACCACATTTGAGAACTGTGTTGATAAAATGGATTTTCCATCAATATTTTACTTTATCTGTGGAATTAGCCAAATAAAACGTCAATGCATATGCAGAAAAACGTATGATTTTTGAAAGCTTCAGCCTAATCACAGCAAAAGTTGATGCATAGGCCGGAATAATAGAACGACCATAACACATACGTCTTTATTTGCCAATATTACAGTTCTCCAGTTTATTGTGACTTGAAAAGAGTGTACAGCAAATATTCTTCAGAGCTTTCTTGAAGCACTTTTTATCATTCAAAATAAGAAGCAATATCTTTTAGATAAAAAGCCATCCAAATTTACCTTTAATTTCACTGTCGACATCAGTATACAGCTCTCTGTAAGAATTTGTGTTTCAGCAACAATGTTTAGCAAAGAGAGTTACCTAAATTCCTTATACGGTTGACGCCACTGACATCCCAATAGATGTTCAACTGGTTAATAATCCGTCACATTCAATACAAAACTGAGATAAGCTTCATAACGAAACAAACAAAAGTTTGTATATTCGTTGAGGGAAAATTCGTGAATTACAAATTAGTATACTACGTAAAACATTTTTCTGCATTTGCTTGCCCATAAAGTGCATGTAATTTTTGACTATCCTTAACACATAAATTGGTAGCAGCGATAAAATGAGTTTTTATGGAGATAGTTTATCAACAGCTAACCCACCAATTCCAAAATGGCGCAAGTTTTAAGCCCGACCAATAGCATCTAATCCGATGCGGCTTGCACGTTACAATGGTCCAACGACGTACACTGGGAGGGAAGATTGTTCCCTCGAGGTACTACCATGTTGGAAACGTCGGAGAGTGGTAAGAAGAAGAGCAGTTACTGTTGTAGTATAAACTGCTGCACTGAGAGAGGCCTGAGGGAAGTCAAGCTGCTGGCTGGATGGCGCGTGACAGCAGTAAGTTGTTTCCAAGGAATAACCAGAAGTACTGTCTTGATGCTACCTTCTGTATGATTACGCCACTCAAACGTCAGCGGTGGTTCCAATTGTACGTTACATTGAAATGCATACAATTTATCGCTTCCGTGTTTTACAGTCAGTGAAGAATGATGGTAATATTGTCTAAACCTTCAACAAGACAAAAAACTTTACCGCACTGATATATTTCTCTTAGTATATGATCTTTTTGCAGTTGCTTTGCTATTGCTGTTTTTCAGAATTCGTTAAAAGATGATATTGGAATCCATGTCTTATCCCAATTGTCAGTTACAACTTGCACGCATGTTAATGAGCCTACTAAGACTCATACTGAACGACGACTACCTTCATCATGTCAAGAAGTATCATCATAATTATTTACACAGAAACTACATAAAACATAGATGCCGAAAATACGTCACGAGAAAGCAAATTAGGCTAGGTTTTTGGCTTTATTGTGGTGTAACATCATCATAGACTGTGCGTGAGCTAAGAAATGGCTCAGACAAAAAGCATATGGTTATCCTAAAATGATCATTCCCAAGCCTTTGCCTTTCTACGGTGGACACATTATATAAACACTAGGCATTTCTTTTCGCCCTCTAACTTTTGTGTACACACTCGTACTACACGAACATAGGATATCCCTGACAGGTCCTATGAACACATAACAATTTGAGAACACATCTAGACGACAAATGGGCTCATCATATACCACTGCTTTTAGGTAGTATATCAATGTAGTCGAAAACAGAGAGTAGCACGGGTGAAAAAATGGATCAATGGAAAGATGCTGATTTACTCGAACTGGTATGTTAACAAATTCTAGAAACAACTGGCTTCAGCTGAGTAAAAAGCATTTACCATAGTTCAGTAACCCAATAGCATGCTAGTCTTAGTACTAACATCTACATGGATAACAGTAATTTCACCCAATAAACTATGAAAAGGAATAAAGGCGTATAATGAATTCCACTACTAACTTCTTCACAACCATAAATACATATATCATAAATTGACTAACCAATCTTCCTAATAGCTATTATTTGCGCACAAAATTTGGTTAATGAAAAAAATACACAATCTAAAAAGATCTGCACGTAAATTCGAAAATAACACAGACCAACAATGTGCGCTACCTAGTTTTCTTATCGCCTGACCGATGGCTGCTACCTTGACGTGGTGGTCAGGATCGGATATCACAATGACCCAACGAGCTATGCTGGTCGAACACTTGTTCCCTCGAGGTCCTACCATACCAGAAAGGTCTGTTGGATAGTGGTTAGACGAAAAGCAGTTACCGTTATAGTGTAAATTGCTACACTATGATGGGGGTCTGAGGCCGAAGTCGTACTGCTGCTAGCTGGATGGGGTGTGACAGCAGTAAGGTGTTTCCCTTGGATGACCAGCAGTGCCATGCTGATGCTGCCTTTTCAGTGGAAGGGGGGGTTAGAAAAGGTCGGCCCCAAAAATAACACACTCCACCATGCCCCACGGTCTGCCGGGTGGCGGTGTTGGTTCATTTGTCGTTTCTTTTCAACCATCCGGCCCCAAAAATACAAAAGTTCAAAATAATCATACACAAAAGGCTGAATGTGACAGGCCTCAAGCAGATGTTCGATGGGCTCTGCGGTCACACAAATCTCTTTCAGGTACCTTAAGAAGAAATAGCCTTCCACGGTGTGGCAGCCGGGAAGTGTCAACCGGCCTCACAACTCTGTCAGCATTCAAGTTTCTTCTGACTGCTATCCACCTCCTTCATCATTACCTTCTAATCTTCCTTCACGTCTCTCAATTAACGATACTACATCACCTTCAATTTCTCCTGGCTCTGCAGCCTTCGACAACGATCTGAGTCCACAGAACAGCATCCCTGGTCTCCTTAAACCACGCTCCAAATTACACATTGGGGCCTTCAATGTCCGCACCCTCCGTCAAATTGGTCAACAGGCTTCGTTGGCAAAGACTCTAGCAACTCGGGCATGGATGTGTGCTGTGTTTGTGAGACTTGCATACAGGTCCCAAGTGCGACTGTCCACCTGACCTCTCCCTGCCAACCTGATGAATCTGCAAAATTCACCCTTTAAGTTTCTGTAGATTCGATAGCTAGCTCTCGCTGTCTTGCACATGTAGGCATGGCATTAATCACTAGGGCAGAAAACTCACTGCTGGACTGGATCCCAGTTGATAGTTGCCTTAAGTTATCCGTCTCAGTGAAAACTAAAAGGATAGTGAAACTCACCGCTATCTCTTTGTAATCTCTGCTTCCTCACCCACTAACTGCAGTTCAGTTGCAGTGAAGGACGAGTTCGACCGAAAACTGTCTAGCCTTCTCTCGAAAGCCAAACCTTCGGACGTGGTGGTTATTGTAGATGATTTCAATGCAGAGGTGGGTAGACTGAGTGAGGCAGAAAGGCACTTAGGTGGCACTTTCGGAATCCCAGCTGAACTTACAGATAACGGTGATCGCCTACTACAACTGTGCTCAGGTAAACCCCCATTTCTAGCTAGAACAAATTTCAGACGTTAGGAAAGACACTGTCTGACGTGACATCCACCAAGCTCAACTCAGCGATGGATGCAGATAGACCACATTGCCATTAGTCGTCACTGGAGAGGATCGGTGAAAGACTGCCTCTCCTTCCGGAGTACGTGTTTGGATGGCGATCACGTGTTGGTCCGAGCACATATATACCTGCGTCTCAATGGATGAAGGAAACATTTGGCAATAAAATCACTACGAATACAGCTCGACAACGAAAACACGAAAGCCGCGTTCAGTGAGACGTTGGCTAGGCAGTTATCGAAACAGAAGACTACCACTCACTCAGCAGAAACTTGGTGCAGTCTCCAGTCTGCTGTAAATGCGATGCTGAAGATCATAGCTGACTCCAGAATAGTGGCTAAATAGAGCCAGTGGATATCATTAACTTCTTCCGAACTAATGGATGCACTTGAACGCACACCTCCAGGCTCTGAGCACAATGAAGAGCGAGTGCAACTGAAAAATAACTGACGAAAAGTCTGCGCAACGATCGTGAACAGTGGTGGGCAGCAAAGGCTAAAGAGATGGAAAAGGCAGCGGCGATCGGTAACAGTAGACAGTTATTTAGACTTATTAAGGAGACTGGGGGGAAATGGTCAACAACAGTTAGTGAGGTTATAGCGGAGAAGGACGGATCTGCGATTCACTCGCAGGGAAGGCGACTGGGACGATGGGCAGAACACTTTGAGGAACAGTTTAACTGGCCTCCAGCCACCATTGCGCTGCCCGCTATCCAGTCGGACCCTGAATGGGACATAGAGACAGGTCCCCCAACACTAGAAGAAGTTGAGAAAGCGGTAGGTAGCCTGAAACGGGAAGGGCAGCAGGACCAGACGGACTACCTGCTGAGGTATACAAGAATGGTGGTAGAGTTC